ACAATGATGAAAAAGTAATTTTGTGATCAATGCCTGCATTCATGACTCTCAGAATTTTACAGAATAACAGAGTTGGAAGGGACATTGGAGGTCTTCTAGTCCAACCCTATACCATTTTATTGAAAAATTTTTTTAAAGTTTTTACAAAAAACAGAAAACAACGATACAACAAAAAAAACAGGATTAAACAAAACAAAACAAACCTCCCCCAACCCTCCCCAAACCACCCACACCCTCCCCCCCCCCCGGAGCTTCCCAGAGCAGAATATAGGCTTAATTTAAAAAGTTAAAAAAATTATATAAAAAGAAAAAAAAGAAAAAAGAAAGATTAACAATAGAATATATATATATATAAAAATAAAAATTATAAAAAAGCTAAATAATATTTTTTATATCCAATTTAAATTGTATAAACTTTATCCATTTGTCCCAAATAGCAAAAAATTTCTCTTGCGATTGTTCTTTTAAGAAAGCCGAAATCTTTGCCATTTCCGCCAAATAAGATACTTTAAAAAACCACTCCTGCAAGGTAGGCAAAGATTCCTTCTTCCAGTATTGTCCTACTAACAACCTTGCGGCTGTGATCAGATTCAACATCAATATAACCTCCTTTGCATCGCAATCAGTAACTATACCTAACAAAAATAATTGTGGAGTAAATTTTACCCTCTTTCTAAAGATTCTCTGAATATTCCACCATATCTTAATCCAAAAAGCTTTTATATTTTTACACGACCACCAAATATGATAATAGGTGGCATCCAAACAACCACATCTCCAACATTTGGGCTGTAGGTCAGGATACATGAGAGACATTTTTTGTGGATCAAGGTGCCATCTATAAAACATTTTATAAAAATTCTCCCTTAAATTCTGGGCTTGTGTAAATTTAACATTCCTCACCCAGATAATTTCCCAGATATCCAGTGGAACTGGTTCTCCAAAATTCTGCACCCATTTAATCATACAATCTTTAATTAATTCTGATTCTGAATCCAGTTCCACTAGAACCCCATAAATTCTCTTAATATGGGTTTGTCTTTGATCCTTTACTTGCTTGAAAAGATTTTCATCTTCTCTAAGAAAACCCACCTTACGATCCAACTTCCATCTATCTGTTAATTGTCTATATTGAAACCAAGAATAAGTAATATTTTCATATACTAACTCTTCCAATAAATTTAACTGCCAGTTATGTCCATCCCATCTAAGTAATTGTGTATAAGACACCGTATCCATTTTAACACCTCTCCTTATGCCCTCTATCGCGTGCCAAGGTATAGCCCATAGTGGTATTTTAAAATCACTTTTATAATATTTTCTCCAAACCCTAAGTAAAGAAGTTCTTATAATATGAGATTTAAAAACCCAATCCACTTTCTTATTAAATATTAAATAGGCATGCCAACCGAAAAGTAAATCCCATCCCTCCAGATGGAGTATCTCCAAATTTGTTAAATTTACCCAATCACTAATTAATGTTAAAGCCACCGCATCATGGTATAATTTCAAATTCGGTACCTTGAGTCCACCTCTCTCACGGGAATCTTGCATGATTTTAAACTTTACCCTTGGTTTTTTCCCTGCCCAAATAAATTTATTAATACCTTTCTGCCATTCGTTTAAATTAATCTCATTCTTCAAAATCGGTAACATTTGAAACAAAAAGAGAAACTTGGGTAGGACATTCATTTTAATCACTGCAATTCTTCCCATGAGAGATAGCTGCAACTTCTCCCAATTCCTCAAGTCTTTCTGTATCCTAACCCACAACTTTTCATAATTATTCTTAAACAGTTTTGCATTAGAAACAGATAAAATAACCCCCAGGTATTTTACCTTATTAACAATTTCAAAACCAGTCAGATTAGCCAAAATTTGTTTATCCCGAGTAGTCATATTTTTAGGTAATATCTTAGTCTTATTAACATTGATCTTGAAACCCGAAACCAGTCCATATTGATGAATCAGCTGCAATAACATTACTACAGAATAAATAGGTTGAGACAAAGTAACCACCAAATCATCTGCAAAAGCTCTCAACTTATATTCTTTTTTGTTAACTTCTATTCCTTTTATTTCCTGCGACCCTCGAATCTTGATCAACAAAATTTCCAATGTTAAAACAAACAATAACGGCGACAATGGACATCCCTGTCTAGTACCTTTCTCTATTGTAAAAACCTCTGACAATCCCCCATTAACAATAAATTGTGCCGTTTGTTTTTGATATGTTGCAGTAAAAGCTTGTAATATTTTTTCACCAAAATTCATCTCTTCAATTACTCATAACATAAAATACCAATTCAGTTGATCAAAAGCTTTTTCAGCATCTAAAAATATCAACCCTGCAGGAATTTGGTTATTCTTGTCCAAATATTCTAGTAAGTTAATAATTTGTCTGGTATTATTTTTCATATATCTACCAGTTATAAAACCAGTTTGGTCCCTTTGTATGAGGTGGTGCACAACCCTCATGAGCCTATTAGCTAAAATTTTTGCAAAAATCTTATAATCAACATTTAAGAGAGATATAGGTCTGTAATTCTTTGGTAAAGTAAGGTCTTGATCCTCTTTTGGAATCAAGGATATAAAAGCACTGCGCCATGACGGAGGGATCTCTAAACCCTGTAAAATACTATTAAAAAGGTCAGCTAATGGTTGTATCATCTCTTCCATTAAAGTTTTATAATAAACAGATGTCAAGCCATCCGTACCCGGTGCTTTCCCTAATTTCAATTGTTTAATTACTATCGCAATTTCCTCATTAGTAATTAAACCATTAATTTCATGTTTCTGATCTTCTGTCAATTTAGGGAAATTAGCCTCACTTAAATATTTGTTTATATCTAAAGTTTGTACATTAGTAGATTTATATAGTTTTTGATAGTAATCTAAAAAAGATTTCTTAATCAATTCCTTCTGGTACACTAATTTACCCTTATAATTTATTTTATCTATTATTCTCTGTCTCTGTTTCTTTCTTAATTGGTAAGCCAACCATCTCCCTGGTTTATTGGCATTGCAAAATGTATTTTGTTTCATAAACAATAAGTTAGTTGCAGATTGATCCGCCATCAACATATTAAATTGTGTTCTTAGCAACTTTATAGATTCTTTAATCTTTTCATCTAAAGGAGTTAAAATCAAAGCCTTTTCTTTTAATTTAATCTCATCTTCCAATTCTTTACGTTTCTGAATCTGCTTTTGTCTATGAAAATTATTCATTTTTATCAAGATCCCACGCATAAATGCTTTACCTGCATCCCATACCATTGACATTGGTGTCCCCTTATACATATTCAAAGCAAAATAGTCCTTTAAACACTCCTTTAACTTTTGAACATTCTTTTCTTGTCTAAATAAATTTTCATTCACCCTCCAGGATCTTCTCTCCTCTTTTTCTTGAATCAGCTCCATCCAGACTGGACTATGATCCGTCAACGACCTAGGAAAAATCTTTACATTCTTTACCTTATTATATAAATCCGTTGTAATAAAAAAAAAATCAATCCTTGAAAAGGATTGATGTCTGTCTGAAAAAAAGGTGAAGTCTCTCTCCTCTTGATTACGTTCCCGCCAATAGTCTCTCAATTCCCAGTCTTCTTTCATATCAAAAAAGGCTTTAGGTAATTTAGCCTGTTTAAAAAAAGGAGAAGAACCTTTCTTGTCCCTTTGTGTGTCTAAGACACCATTCCAATCTCCCATTAATATCACGGATCTATAATCCAGCGAGATTATTTTCTGATGTAACAGTCTATAAAATTGTTCCTGTTGTTGATTTGGTGCGTAAAGTCCCACTATGAGTATTTTCTTACTATATAAGCCAAGTTCAATCATTACATATCTTCCTTGGGGGTCTGATTCTACCAGACAAACTGGTAAGTTTTGCTTAACATAAATAACCACTCCCCCTTTCTTCCCAGGAGCAGGAGATACAAAATGAGATCCCAGACGGGCATTAGCTAAATATTTTTGATCTTTAAGTAGGATATGAGTTTCCTCCAAGCAAATAACATCGTTGTTATGTTGTTTTAAGTAGTGAAAGATTTTCTTTCTTTTCTGAGGAGAATTAAGACGGTTAACATTCCAGGTCAGAAACTTTGCCATCTCCCTTAACCAGGAGCCTGGAGAAGACTGCCTGAAGATCTGCCATTGCTGTATGTGTTGCAGAACTCTTGGGTCTTGCTCCTCCCACTGGCAATGAGGCACTTTCCAAAGAAGATTCTTTAGTTTCTTTCTTTTGTTGCTCCTTTTCCTTACGTCTATGTGCTGCACGGGTCATCCTCTGCTCTTTAACCTCTGTTTGACGTTGCCATTCCAGTTGTAACTTCCCGGCAGAGATCAGACCTAATGCTTCAGATTGCTGTTCCAGCTCTTTACCACTCAAAGGTTTCTGAGCAGATGACCCTGAGCCTGCACCCAGGACCGTATTATAAAACTCTTTAGCTTTGCTAAAACCTATACCATTTTAGACAAATGGCTGTCCAATCTGTTTTCCATTACAATCATTACAAACCTGTTCTTTTCTTTTCTTTTTTGTTCCGTACTCTCTGTGGGGCAGATAGATTGTCTGAACAATCTCTCTCTTCCTGAGATGCTCACTCCTAAATCTGGTAACTGCAAGTTAACAAGGTTCACTCTGTGACCTTAATTAGTTGTTGACAACCCATGGGCTCTTGCTGCTGCTGCCTGACATTGACAAGAATATAATCAGTTTTATATTAAAGGCTTTTACAGAATAACAGAATAACAGAGTTGGAAGAGACCATGGAGGTCTTCTAGTCCAACCCCCCGCTCAAGCAGAAGACCCTATACCATTTCAGACAAATGGTTGTTGAATCTCTTCTTAAACCCCTCCAGTGATAGAGCACCCACAGATTCTGGAGGCAAGTCATTCCACTGATTAATTGTTCTTACTATTAGGAAATTTCTCCTTAGTTCTATGTTGGTTCTCTCCTTGATTAGTTTTAATTCATCACTTCTTTTTCTACCTTCAGGTGCTTTGGAGCAGGTGTCCACAACCCCGGTCTGGCACCAGTCCACAGCTCTCCAGGAACCGGTCCACACAAGCAAGCAAAGCCCCAGCCACACATGCATAGGATACAAGCAGCACATGAACCCATGCCCCCCCAAGTCCATGGAAAAACCATTCTGGTACACAAAAGAAACAAACAATAAACAAATAAAATTATTATTCAATATTAAAAATAGAACTACTCTGTATATACAATGTTAAAGGGCAACCAAATAAGATAATTAAACAAGCAAAAGTGGGCTCCAGTCAGTTGGACCCAAAAACTTGGGGGGAAAAGCAGGTCTTAAAAGCCAGAGTTGCACCTGTCACATATTGGAGTGGGCAGATCATTCCAGAGCACAGGGTTAGTCACTTAAAAAACACACATTCTAGGGCCAATAAGGAAGGGACAGGAGCATGCCTTCCATATGGGAATGTATAGGGCAAGCAGATATTCTTGGAAAGATGTAGTACTCTAACCAACCCAATTCTATACCATGTAGAGGTTTAAAGGTGCTAACCAATACCTTTATTTGTATCCAGAAGCTTAATGAGAGTCAGGGAAGCTCACAGAGTAGCAGTATCACATGGATATAATAAGTTGTGTTCATAACTGCTCACACTACTCCATTCTAGACCAACTGAAGTTCATGGATAACCTTCAAGAGTAGTCCCATGTAGATCACATTGCAAGGTGATCTATGGTGAAAAGATGACTACGTCACGAGTGACAATAGTACAACTTTCCAGCCCAGGAATGGGGGCAACTGGAGCAGTTATGGCCATAAATGTGACCTGCTTTTTTGAGCAGGAGCTGTAACTCTGGATAGGACCCCAGACTGCATACTGAATAGGCCAGCACCACTCCTTCACAATGAAAGATGGACACATTAGAGTTTTCAGGCCCAGGGGACCCAGAATCCGTAGGCATTCAAACTTATTCCTCCCCATCTAGACCTTTATGGCCTCCAAAACCCTGAGAGCTTCATCTGGACAACTGAGGGCAACTCATATCATCAGCATATTAATGATACTTTACGCTATGCTACAGATTATTTCATCTAGCAACTTCATATAGACCAGGGGTAGGTTTGGAAGTATAGATCTCCTGCCCTATCTTTTTACACCTTGATCAATTTAGGGCAGATCCTTCCTAAAAAAAATTCTTGAACCATTAAGCAGCTGCGGGTTCCTCTCCCTTTTTATCTTAGAGTTATCTTTTTCTTGTCCTTCAAGGACATTCCTAGATATCATTATAGTTATAGACAAATGCAGTGAAGCTCTCTTAATACTCTACCTGAATCCCAGTTTCCTCTGGTTGTTAAGGCACCAGACTAGAAACCAGGGGATTATGAGTTCTAGTCTCACTTTAGGCATGAAAGCCAGCTTGCTGACTTTGGGCCAGTCATTCTCTCTAAGCCAGCCCACCTCACAGGGCTATTGTAGAGAAAATAGGAACATACAGGTTTGTACTTACAGCTCTGAGAACCCTGTCCACTGTTTCAGGACGGATAGGCTTGAACTCATTGTAGATAGTACCATAAGACTATGTTTCAATCACATTAATAGATTGCAACTGGAGTCCAAATCTGAACAAATCCAAGCAATTTGATTCACCAGGTACCAAGAATTGTCCTCACAGTGTCCCTTTAGATGATCCAGTGATTCCTCCTGACTTAGAAAAGATGGGATCATTTTGAATAGATCTACTTCCCTTTAGGTCTTGAACCTTAATATACATAATAAAGACTTGGATTTTCACTGAAGCAGGAGTCTCATTCTGAAAGGATTGTAAATTTTTGTTAAGTTACAGAAAGGAAGTAAAACAAAGCAGAAGGTTACCATTTCATGCATTCCAATGTTATTTGGATGCCAGTGAGAATTTCTATGAGGAAAACTGGATGGTAGAAAATTTACAAAATAGTATCTCTCTAGGAGTGGGTGACCTGCAATAGGAATTGTGAGGGAAGGGCTTATAGATACCCACTCGTAGGAGTGAGAAGGCCAACATGTATTAGCATTGCCACATTAAGCCTTTTATTGTTCAACTATTTATCTCTTTATTTCACCTAATTTTTAGTTAGATTTTAGGATGTTAATGAGCAGTTGATATGTGGAAAAAGCTGTAACAATTTAAGTAGTTTCTAATGTTTTTCCATACATAATTCCCATACTGGAAATTGTTTCTTAAACTGTAAATGAATTAGGCTTATTTTATGTGCATCAGGGTGAGATAAGCTTTTCTCCATGCTCCAGCTATGGCTACTGTGAGTTGTTTTTCAAATCATTTTATAATACCCTTCAATACCTTGCTGCTTTCAAAAGGTGAGACTCCTACTGTCATGCTGCTGTTACCATCTGATTGGGATGGGCATCTGGAAACCAAGATACTGTGCTAGTTTGGGAAGTTATCACATTCCTTCACCAAGGATGCTTCTCCCCAAACTGGCAGTATAGAAGACATCTGGTAAACCAAATGTGAGCAAAAACAGGACCAGGTTGTGGAAGATCTAGAAGAGCCAGAATGTCAGCTTAATTTGGAAATCCCATTCTCTTCTGACATGGATGCCTTGGGGATTTCAAAATCCCAGTTAATCTGGATTTTTGGGAATGCCTTGTAGGTCTATGGAAGATTAGAATGAGTTTGGCTTGAACATTAGCTAGAAAGTTGTCAATTTCACCCTTGACTGTGTACTTGTCATCCCCTTACATACGGTTTTTAAGCACTACTTTTATATGATCACTCATTTAAATATCCTTTTGATTTCTGAACAAGTGATTACTGTTTAAACATAGATTCACGTCACCTTTCAACCAGTTATTTAATTAAGTGCTTCCTTTTGGTGTACTGTTTCAGTTAGAATTGGCACATCAGACAGTTTGAAGAGAGCAATCATAAATGCAAAGATGTGTTTATTCAGATGTGTCATTTCTAAGTTGAAGTTGTTATAAGTTATATGTCAAAAATGAGTGAAAATTAATTATTTTGCTACATTCTCTAACGCTCAGAAAAAAGGTACGAAGCAGTGAAATCTTATCTCTGTAATCAGTTCTCTTTCCAATCCCCAAACCAATAACAGTTTAATTATAATTTATATTGAGAATTAATTCATTATGATGCTTATATTCACACTTAGATTTGGTTAACATGGTGTACAAAGCCATCACATGCCTTGCTTTTTTCTGATTTAGTGTGATGCCCAAATCCCAAAAAATATTTCTGTATCATTCCAGTTTTAGCATACATATGTGCTGCCAAAGCGAGCACAACACAAACCAAGGTTGATATAATTGTGGTTTAGAATAATATATGAGCCTAGCAATGCTCTTCTCTTTCTCTCTCTCTCTCTCTCTCATACATAATTTAACAGACAATCCTCAACTCTTGGGGAAAAAACGCTTAAAATCAGCACTCTGCTTAAGGAAAATCAACATGCAGTCATTCTTTCTTTTATACTATGCTTTTTAATATAAGACCATGTAAATATTAGTTTTTAATATACTTTTTAAATAATGTATTTGCATATGTACATAGAAAAAACACAGAGACTTGTAATTTTAGCTTTAACAAAGAGAACAAGTAGATATTCTTTCCAGCATTCATATGTAGATGGCATAAATCACTGCCTGTTACTTTTGTACTGTTCATGCCAGTGCATGACGTATAAAGGTATTGTGACATTTTGTATAGGTTATCAACAGTCTTTTTCTTTTGAACTGGTTAACTGTTATGTTGCTTTGCTTTATACATCTAAAGTTCATATAAATGCTTTTTATATTTTAAACAGTTGTTGAATCAAATAAGTATACAGTCTATCTTCTAAATTTTGAAGCAGGAAGGTATGCAATAGTATAGCTCCTTTTCAAATTACTGGGTCTTTCTCTACTTCTCTTTAAGTACTATCCAATTGTTCTTAGGTTAGCAGAAATTTATCTATCTATCTATATATTATTTTAAAAAATTAAAAAGTTTGCATCTATTGTTTCTATTTTTACTTGCTGTTGACTGGTGATATTCTGACTTCACATGGGCAAGGTGTGTTGGAGCAACTGATAAGTGAAATCTTGCTTTCCTGTATTTTATATCTTTTCTGGCATTGATGCAAAGTAGGGTTGGGAGATTGTGACAGGTAGCTGATCCTCTTTCTTCCTTACCACACAGACCAAACAAGAGAATTTAGTTATCGAAAGTGAGAGAGATGGCAGTCAAGCAGAACTGGTATTCTGAAAACAGCAGGAATTACAATGTTTTGTGAGGGTCACCTCTCCTGCTTTATCAACCAGTTGCTGATCAACCATCCAGATGATTATTGTGACACCACAAAACCCAGGCTCAAAATAAGCCTGCCAAACAACTAACTCCCCTCAACTGTAGATCACTATTCAGAGACTGTGTTGTAAGTACAGGATTAGCTTTTCTTCTGAGGAAGCATTAAAATCAGTAGCCAACAGTTGTTTGACAATTGTGTAATAGAGCAGAAATGTCCACTCTCCATTTTATTGCATAGCTTCTCCATATTGCAGATTGCAAAAAAAAATGCCAGTTAAAGATATAGGCAACAATTGGAAGGAAGAGGAGAAAGAGGAGGATGGGAGGAGGAGGAGGAGGAGGAGGAGGAGGAGGAGGAGGAGGAGGAGGAAGAGAGTAAAAGAAATGACAGAAGAGTATCTAGAGCAGACATGTCAAACGACATCATGTGAAGTCGCACAACGTATCGGGACGGTTTTGCCATTGCCGGCAATGGCCGTGGATTCTGGATGACGCGTCCAGCCCGCGGGCCAGCAGTTTGACACCCCTATCTAGAGATACAGCCATGAGGCATACCCAGCACCAAAGAGTACATGATCCTGAAGTGATCAATAATTACAAGATTATCTATGAATATGCCATAAGTTGTTGGAGCTATTTTAAAACAGAACTAAGGAATACTTGTTTCACTTAAGGATGAATACTACAGCAGAGGGACATGAAACAATAAACCAGTTGCCAGAGAAAAGAAGGACTAGGGGTGATATGATAGCAGTATTCCAGTATTTGAGGGGCTGCCACAAAGAAGAGGGGGTCAGCCAGAAGGCAAAAAAAGAAACAATGGATGGTAACTAATCAAGGAGAG